GGAAATTTTTGAGGTTTCTAAATCCTATTCGTGTTTCTCCTTTTTTTCATTAAGACTGCCTTCTGAAATGATTAGCAACATAGAGATTAGAGCATTCCTTTGCACTTCAAAAATGAACCCACATAATCCATTTATATGTGAAATTTTTATTTCTTTATATTTTCATTTCCATATATTGTATTGTAGAGTTCACTATGCTGGATATAATGTAACCAGACCAGAGGGAGACTTAGGAAAATACAAGTCTATTCCTCATCACCATCGAGGTGAAGTCCAGTTTTTAGGACGGTAAGTTTAATATCATCTTCAGATACCAAGGCTTCAAAGCTGTTTAATATATGAAAGAGAAATAAAACTGTGTCACACCCAAAAAAGTCTGCTGAAGGGAATTTTCATTATGCAAGGAAAGCATTTTTTGCTGAAGGGAATCTTCTTTATGGAAGGGAAGCACTTTTTTGGTGCTTGTTTTGAAGAGATGGCACATACATACACATATATTAAAGAACCCAGTTAACTATTTAGAAAGTATTTCCTTAATATAAAACATACACACTTTATTTCTCAAGGGTGTCTAAGTTGTAATGATGCAAAATAATTTTTTAAGGTGGCATTTTTTGACTAGTAAAATTGCTAATTTAGAATAATGGTTTAGATATTTTTAGTTAGGCACAAGAACCAGAAATTGTAAAGAGCTTTAAATACTTTAATTAGAAGATGACCTTGAGCATAGTCCTCATCAATTTTGCTTTTGAATATGTTTCTCTTACTTCTTTGTTTTTTTCCTCTAACACTATAGGTATAAATTACTAAGGTATTCTAAAGAGCGTCAGTACATCGATGGGTTGAACAATTTAATATATAGGCCAAAAATACTGGTTGATAGGTTGTATACAAATATATCTGTAAACCTCATGCCAGAGTTAGCTCCAATTGAAGACTATTAAAAGAAGTAGCTCTCATGGCAAGATAGACCACCATGCTGGATCATAAACTTGGAGTGCACTCTTAATGGAGGTCAGTGATTGGATGTGTCACAGTGCCCTGTTCTCTGAGAAGAAGAGCCAGCAGTCCTCAATGTTTACAGCGTGGGACTGTGTCCAATCACCCTTCTTCCACCCATCCTCTCTGCTTTGAGACACACTCCATGGCGAGCACTGCAGAAACTGGAAGCCATTGCTTAAGATTGGAAGTTGAGAGCTCCCTACAAAGAGAAAATTTTTATACTAAAATCTATAATTTAATTCAAGAGAATGCTTTTATTTCTGTTTAGACATATTTTGTACATATGTGATATAAATTAAGGTGTTCAAGTTGTTGAAAAATAAGATGTGTTGCAGTTTTGCATGTCATTGGTTATGCCTTTATTGGACTTTTATAGACATTTTTTTATTTGCATGGGAAAAAACACTGTAAACTTATATCACTAAACAAAGGTTAACCCTTGTGTGAAATGAAGGAACTGTCAATAATTGACAGCCAACTAATACAGTAAACTGTTATACTAGTTTTGAGCTTTAGAACTCTGCCTTTCGTGTGGAAGAAGTCACAGCTTTCTTAGGGCTTTAAAGGGAAAGAAGAAAGGACTTAAACAGCTTTTCTTCCTACCAGGATTACCTATTTTTTTCCTTGCTTGCAGCCTCATCAGATTTTGCTATAAATCACAACCATATTGTTTATGCATATTGCATGAGTATTACCAAGAAAATCTTAAAAGTTGTGATGTGACATGATATAAAGGACCTCTTTATGTTAAATGTCTTTCATGTACCTCTGGTGTAAGTGTCAGGGATTCTGTGCCTCAAAAAATGTTCCCAAGGTTGTGTGTTTATATGCTGTATTTTTTTTAATTCACAATGAACAGCACTTTTATTATTTCCAGTTCAGAAGAGCCAAAAAAAGTATCTTCATTTAAAAATAAATCAAGTCAGTTTTTTTTAAAAAAGAATGATCTCTGGAAAACCCAGTAGTGCTTATAATATATAAATGAATTATACTATTAGATAAGAAATTAAATGTTCTATTTTTATGAAGATAAATGCTTAGTAGATAAAAACAAATTTTAAGTTTAATTCTCAGACATAGAATTTCACTTTGGGAAGGGACCCTTAAATGTCAACCAGTTTCATTCAAACTGTATTTTTTTCACTTTTAAGAAATTACATCTCTGGTGTTAATTATTAAAATTTCCTCATTAAAAGTATAATTAGTAGAATTATCTTAAAATACCTTACCAGTTATTTAAATGAACTGATATTATGACACTTCTGAAAGCAGGTCATACTACCTGATATCAAATTACATTTATCTTAAATTTGCTTGAAGTTTTCCATAGCCAAACCAAACAATATTCTTACTTTGAAAATTATCAATTATAAAAAATTCCTTAAAATATCTTAAGGTATTTTTACAAACTTAAGAAAAACTGCATATCTATAAAGTAAATCTTCAACGTGAAGAACGATAGAAATCTATATATGAGAGATGTTTGAATAACATATGACTCATGGATTGTTCACCTAAAATATAAATATGGTCATTTATCTCAGGTTGTAAGTTTGATATTGAAGTGTCATTTTTTATGGCAATATTGATAATACAAATGACCACAAACCAAATCATAAAATAATTGAAATTCTTATGGTTTGAGAAAACTGATAGCCTCTCTGTTATGATACCAAACAGAATTTTTCCATATTTATTTCTTAGAAATATTTCCAAAATATTTATCTGTCATTTTTTTTTGTGGTACTCAAAATAATGAAAAATCAAACCTTCTGAAAATTAAGATATTTGTACTTAATTTGTGCATCTGTTCATTTTCTGTCTCTCATACCAATGTAGTTTTTTAAGTTGATGAAATGAAAGAGATTGAAAATGTTAACATTTGTTGATCACTAACAAGGTAGTAGGGGCATAGGAGCATAATTAACCCAATAATACTTAAAATGTTTTAGTGGTGGGGCAAAATTAGGGCTGTTTCTGAGTCTTATTATAAGGGAAACATTTTTCTCTTTTTAATGTGGAGCTGTCTGCATTTGTTATCTTTTCATTTAGATGTACATTTTACAATTTCAAGAAAACTCGGCACTACTAGTATCTGCCTTATTTTCTTGAGTTATGTCTGACATTAATTTTTATTTTAGGAGTGAGATTCAAACATTTTGCTTTTTTTCAGTTTTGAATATAGTATGTTATCCTGTGAAAACCCCCTCACTAATTTGCTTTTTGTTTTGCTTTTTAAGTGTAAACCTGAAATTATTTTTACCTATAAACAGTGACCCTTAATATGTTCCCATAAGAGTGACAGAGCTTTGCCCAATCGTCTTCATTGTATGACAATAAATCTATTCCATAAAGATTAACAAATACAATTGCCAATACAAACTATTTTCTTTATAGTATGTTTGGTGGATTATTAATGAACATGTATTGATTGCCTGCTCCGAATCAGGTGCAATGCTAAGTACGTATATGGAAAGAGCATTATTTCATTTCTAAACAAGTCAAGTCAAGCAAATTGAAACCTTTCTAAAATTATGAGGACATTTTCTGATAACTTATCTGTTGTATTTCTCAGTCTCAAAGTCAAGAAACCAATATATGGACCTAGAGCTATTAGGAGTTCCCTATGGCTCTACTGGGAAAATTATATAGTGCCTTTCAACTAGAGAAAGAAGTAATGATTAATGGGCCTGATTGTAGAAAAGAAAATAGGAAAAGTACATACATTTGCTGTAACAGTAAGTCTAAATCAGTGGAGATAGTCATTCTTTGCCAAAACTAGGATTTAATTGAGTATTTTTTTAATCTAAATTTAAATTTTTTGTTTGTATTTTGTGAAAAGGTGTTCATTAAGAAAACCTTATTTATAATATTATATAAACTCAAAATCATGTATTAAAAACTTGCCTATACTCCTTTCCTAGCCAAGATACTAATATCCATTTTAAAACAAAATTGAAAAGTATCTAATACATATTCTCCTTCTGGAGGCTCCCTAAAAGTGAAAGCAGATTTTGTATCATTTTATTTGGCCTTTGCTTGCCTCTGTTATATTTCTCTATATATTTTTCAGATGAATAGTACTCTAGATTTGTTGCCTTGGCCTTGCAAGTGTGCCAGTTGAGAGAACTAAAATGATCATTGTGTTTATCAGAAAGAGGAAGTGTACTTAAGATTATTTTATTTATTGAGATATGAAAGTCTTCTACATTAAATGCACTGAAATAAGTGCTAGTAATTTCTTGTACTTTCATTTTTTTTTTTTTTTTTTTGCTTCTCATGGAAATGTTTGTACTTTTTTATCATTGTCTTTTATGAAATATAATGTTCTAAAGACCTTGTGTGAAGATGTAATTATTTTCTCTCAGGAACTTTTTTGGGTTACTTGCCCCCCCCCTTTTTAACTGTTATCCTAAATTTTAAGTGAGTTATTGGTTGGTTGATGCTAGAGTTGCCACATAAGCATCAGGAAACCACAGCTTACGTACATTTAGAGATCACCTCATACCTTTTACCTCAAAAAAGTAATATTTAAGTATTTTTCATTAGTACAATTAGTATTGTATCAAAATGAATGTTTAAGAATTCATTTTTAGCAAAAATTTTTTTCTCTCTGCACAACTATAATAAACTAAGCTAGCCTGTTATGGTCAATTCACTTCCTGTTTTTCAGGTATCAAGTAGTGTTGACAATCTTTAAGGCAAAGATTCCAATCTCAAAAATATCTGCAGACTAGATTTGTATTCCGGACTAGATTATGAGATCATGACTTCTATGGACTTATTTGTGTAATGAATTTTAAGTATTGATTTATGCATAGTATGATCTATAGGGATATTGTCACCATATATCACACATGAACCAGTTATTAAATCATATTCATTTAAGTCATTTAAAGCCGTAAATTTTAGTAAGCTTAGTTTGCCCCAGGTTTCTACGTATGTGTCCTCTGGTGAAACATGCTAACTTAACACATTAACTGCCATGTGAGTTGTATTTAACTCACACTACTTTTGAGCCCGGGGGCTGGTGAAACATATGTAACTCACACATCTCTTCACTTTGGGAGCCATGAGAACTATTTTTCAAGTTGCATATAACTCACGCACAGGAAACAATAAAAAATACATTTTTCATTAAATTAGGACCATATTGTTTTTGACATTTTTATTCTATTTTCGTAATAAAACACCATGGCCCCAAGGAAACGTTTTTTTCTAGTGTGTGCAATGTGTTAATAAAAAAAATATA